GAAACCAGCTGCATGCAGCAGATTTCGTAACCCCCCCTTTCCCAATCCCCCCCTTTCGCCCGACCCGACAAGCGAGGGGGCGCCTGCGATGAAGTCGGGCCTGTCCCCCCACAAAGGGGGAGTTTCGACGAGAAAGAAGCAGTACACCCCAGACATGCTCCAAAAAAGGGTCAAAACACATACTACCAAATAAATAGTCCCCGGACCATGTTTGGACTATGTTTTGACTAGTTGTGGGGTGCTAAAACAAATCGTCGACAATCCCCCTGTAGGGGGGCACGCCCGACTTAAGCCTACGAAGCGAAGCGCCCACGGGCAGGCGCCAGCCGAGCAGCGCACCAGGGAGGCCCAGCCCAGCACTCGAGCAACGGAAGTGAGGGCTCCCGGGTCCTGAGTGCAAGCACCGTTTGGAGCACATGGATATATACAGAGAGAGAGAGAGAGAAAAAAAAAAAAAAGAGAGAGAGAGAGAGGAGAGAGAAACAACAAGAAATATATATATATATATAGAGAGATAATCAAAAAGAAAAGGAAAGGGGGAGAGACGTTGGGCATGCACACAGGTAGCTCGAGGGAGATGGAGAGAGCGATCGATCACGGATGCTGCGTATGTATGTTTGCGTGCACAGAGACAGACAGACGGACGGGCGGTAGACAGGCAGATAGAGAGGGAGAGGGAGAGAGAGCGTGAGCGAGAGAGAGAGAGAGAGCGCGCACAACACACAGGAATGCAAACGAAGCATGGAAGGTGGGCGCTCTCCTGAGCTCCTGAGCCTGCCGCCCCCCTTCCTGGCCTGCCCCGTCCTCCCCCTCCCCACACCGCCTCCCCTTCCTCCTCCCGCCTTCTGGCCCTGCTGCTGCTGCTCGTCTCTGGCTCTCTGGCCATCCCGTCCGGCTCCGGCGCGCCAACCGTGCGGCGTGCGGGCTGCGGGGAGGATCCGCCGAGCCGCTGGCCGAGGCGATCTGTGGGACGGCCCGGGCGGGGCGGCGGCGCAGCCGCCTGCCTAGCAAAGGACGCAGCAGGAATCGGGCCGCGCACGAGCCGACACAGCAGCTCGCCGAGGCGGGCAGGACGCCCCACCTGTGCCCCACGCGGGGCCCTTATTGAAGGGGCCCCAGGACACACAAATAAATACACACAAATAAAAATCATCCCCATATTTTCCCATATTTTCTGGGTTTTTGTCTTCCCCCCCAATTCCCATATTTTCCCATATTTTCTGGGGAATCGCCGATTAATTGTGTCTGTGTGTTTCTTTTCCTCCTGACTTATGTTGCATCCTCGGGGCAGCGGGGAGCCGTGCCTGCGTGGGACCGCAGCGCGCCGGAGATACGCCCCGGGACTCCTTGCCAGCGCGGCGCCCATGGCCTGGGCCCCAGGAAGTGGACGCCGTGCGCGATCGCCGACGCCGAAGCGGAGACGCAGGATGTGCAGAGGCAATCCCTCGGACTACACCTCGGTGCGCTTGTCATGGCGCCCCCACCCCCCCGCGACAACCGAGTGGCCGTTTGGCGGCCGCCCGGGGCCCGACGGCCCGCGGGGGGCTTCCTGGGCCTCTGAACACGGCGGGCCAGATGGCGTTGGCATCGGGGGCTGCACAGGGTGCAGGGCAACGTCGGGGGCGGTGGGGCAGTGGATGCCATCTCGAAGCAGGTGGCGCAGGGATCGCACAGGCCCACCAAGGGCACGATGGCATGAAAAGTCAACGCGTGCTCGTGCGAGGGGTACAGACAAGCCCTTCGCCTGGCTCGTTTAACGCATGGTGCGTCAACAGCGGCGATACCTCCATCATAACTGCATGGGCCGACTTTTATATGTATGCATTGATTTATGTACTTATGTATTCATATCTGTATATGTATATATACATATATATATATATATACGTACCACCCCGCAGTTGCGGATAAGAGTGATCGGCCGGCGGGGACGTCGGCAGTCTGCGAGGCTTTGAAGAAGCTCGCCGCAAGCGCAACATTTTTTCAAGCTATACAACGAGCCCGCCGCAGGCGCCGATTTTTCCCTACCTAGGCTCTGCCTAGAAGGGTTCTTACTCGGTAGCTTAAAGGGCCGGGCAGTGGCACGCGCCCCGGGCGGTTCCCCCAGTATCCGCCCCGCGGTTCCCCCAGTTACGTCCCCTTAGCTTAGCGTTGCTTATCTCATCTTAGCTTAGCTAATTTCATCTTAGCTTAGCTTAGCTTCATATTAGCTCAGGTTTAGCTTAGCTTAGTTTACCTTTACCTTAGCTTTGCTGAGCTTTAGCGTATCATAACTTAACCAATCGTAGCATAGCATAGCATAGCATAGCATAGCATAGCATAGCATAGCATAGCGCGGCATATCATAGCAGTGCAGTGCAGTGCATAGCATAGCATAGCGCAGCTTAACATAGCATAGCATAGCTTAGCATACCACAACGCAGCATGACATAGCATAGCTGAGCATAGCATAGCATATCATAACATAGCATAGCATAGCAGAGCAGAGCAGAGCGCAGCATAGCATGGCATAGCATAGCACAGCATAGCAACTAATGCTGCTTTCCTAGGGGCTCGAACTTCTAGGTAGGGTCGCGGGTGGGTCGCGGGTGGGTCGCGGGCCGGGTCGCGGGTGGGTCGCGGGCCGGGTCGCGGGTGGGTCGCGGGCCGGGTCGCGGGTGGGTCGCGGGTGGGTCGCGAGCGGGTCGCGGGTGGGTCGCGGGTGGGTCGCGAGCGGGTCGCGGGGTGGGTCGCGGGTGGGTCGCGGTTGGGTCGCGGGGTGGGTCGCGGGTGGGTCGCGAGGTGGGTCGCTGGTGGGTCGCGGGCCGGATCGCGGGGGGGACGACGACAACAACAACAACAACAACAACCACAACAACAACAGCAACAACCACAACAACAAGCAGAATCCTTACCACGGATCCGCACTTCAGCCTCGCACCCAGGGACAATGAATGACCGTTCGGCCCCCTCACTCTGATAAATAAAAAACATGTGCTGCATCAAGGTATACGTACCTGTATGTACATGCGCGACGGCCAGTGGAGTTTCATGTGCACTAGCTGCACGACGACTCGCATTTCGCCCACGTGCTGTTCACCCCACTTCGACGATACTCCCTGACCGCAGATGTCATACTGCAGCATCCACCGCAGTTTGCGCATGCCCTGAATCACTGCACCACAGGGTGGGTGCTGCCTCGGCGCGAAACTGTGCGCATGGGCACGGGGGGTTCAGACTTGACTTGCCCTGGTATGCGCTTTGCTACCCCATCTGGTACACTTCACGGTCACTGCCCCACCCGCCCGCCACATGGGATGCCCAGGGGCAAAAAAACGAGCAGTGTTCTCATCTTTCTCGCAGTCCTCCTCCTCCTCCTCCTCCTCCTCATCCTCATCTTCCTCCTCCTCATCCTCCTCCTTGTCATCCTCCAGCGCACCCCTCTTCCTCTTCCTCCTCCTCCTCCTCCTCCTCCTCCTCCTCCTCCTCCTACTCCTACTCCTACTCGTCCTCCTCCTCTTCCTCCTCCTCCTCCTCCTCCTCCTCCTGCCCGTGCTCCTGCTTACCCACTTGCTTTTCGCGAGCCTGGGCTGAAAGATCTGCCTCCGTGCCCCTTGGCACGTTGAGGCGTGGGAGGATGCCACGTGCTGTCTGGTATGCTTCCTGCACGTCGTCCAAGACCCCCTTTTCCTCGCGCAGTGTCGCATGCACCGCCGCCTCTCCCGAGGTTTCCTTGGCGCCCCCCTGCCTCCCTGACGCTCACCGGGGCTCTCTAGGGCTCCCGAGACGACCCAGGAAGGCAATCGAGGCCGTCAGCATTGTCTCAGGAGGCTCAAGAGGCACACGGCGGCCACTAAGTAGGTCCCATTGTCCGGAGAAGCCTCCAAGAGGCTCCAAGACACCCCCAAGACGGTCTCCAGAGCATCTTCATGTCCCATGTTTTCAATCTGTTCGGACAACTTGCCAATCGGTTGCCCCACGCTGGTGCGGACTGCCTCGCCCCCGATTGACCGACGACGAACAATGGCAATCTGTCTAATTCGCTCTCCAAGCTCTTCGGCCTAAAAATGGTCCACTTGTTGCCGTCCAAGGCCCAACGGAAGCCACTGAGAGCCCCAGAGGGCCCTTAGACGGCACAGGACGGCCCCAAGCGAGCCGCAAGCTGAAAAGGGCCCCTGGACTGACCCAAAGAAGCCCCCCGACAACCAAGAGAGCCCAAAACGGCTCAAGAGGGCCCCGATGCGGCCCAAGCGGGCCCCGAGACGGCCCAAGAGGGCCCCAAGACGGCTCAGCAGGGCCCCGATACTGCCCAAGAGGGCCCCGAGACTGCCCAAGAGGGCCCCCAGGGACGGACCCCCTGGAACGCCCCACGGTAGCCCCTGACAGCCCCAAGATGGCCAGAGCGTAGGCCCTGTGAGAGCTCCTCGAGGCATGGAAACGAGGCGTCGCCCGCGACGGCGCTCCTTGGGCGCTTCTCGAGGGGATCGCCACGCCGAGGCCTCGGCTGGCACGGTGGGCGAACTGCCGATGGCACCCGGATCCAGTGCGAAGGCTGGGGCGGCGCAGCACAAGCGGCGAGGAGATGGCGAGGAGGGGTGCAGCAGAGGACCAGGAGAGGAGTCACGCAGCGCGCCTTCTTGCACCGCAGGCCGCCGCGGGTCACCCCCAGAGCGCAACAGATGCGCAGAGACCAGCTCGGCCAGCAAATGCCACCCCGCCTACCCGCCCCCCTCCTTCGTCCGCCATCCACCTTCCTCCGACCGTGCCGAGAGCCTTGCTCTGATGGGACGCGCCCCTACGGTCAGGAACTTGTGCGTAGCGTGTCGCCACGGCGGCCTCGGCGACACGCCACGCCCTGCATGCGGATAGCGCGTCACTCCGCTCCGCGGGGCGGGAGCCTCGGAAAGGCTCGGGACCTGGATGTTGGAGGACTGGCAGTTGGCTGGCGTGCCGCGCCGCCGCGTGGTGGGCCAGAGCCTGTGGCGCGACACGCTGAGCCAAAGCCCCCGATCGGAAGGCCCTCAGATGAGGTGAGACTTCTGGTAGCTCGGCAGCACCGAGCCCACCTTCGGAGACCCGCCGAGGCCACCGGCGCGGCCCAACGCCGCCAGGGCCAGCGCCGCCGCCGCCAGCACGGCGGCGGACCCGACGTTGCGCTCCCAGGGGGCGCGCAGGTGCACCCTGTAGTCCGCGGTGAGCTCCTCCTCGGAGCTCCACTGGGACATCCACTGCAGCTCCTCCTTCGGAGAGACCAAAACGGCACAAGCACAACACTGCTCGGAGGTCGGCGAGAGTTTCTCGGATCGGCGCTGGACACCCCTCCCTGGCACGCAGAGGACGCCAGCGGCGGCGCCGGAGGCGCCACCAGGATGGCCCAACGTCGATCCAAGAAATCCGCGCGAAGCTCAGAACGTTTATGTTTGTATCATTAGTTGTTCCCCGATCCTTGTCCACTGGCTCCTGCGGTGCGTCTGCCAGGTTGGCGTGCTCCCGCATGTCCTCCGGCGTCGCGATGTAGCCCTGGCCGAACTCCGTCGGGGTGCGCGCCGACGCCGCGCCCGCCCTGTGGGGGAACGGGCACTCGCGGGGGAACGCGTAATGCAGCCACTGCGCGAAGAGGCGCCCGTGGAGGGGCACCTTGGGACGCAAAAGACATACTCGTACTACGTGCATGTTGGAAGTGCTCGCCGTCGCCGCCCCGTCGCCGCCCGGTCGCCGCCCGTCGTCTGGGCCTGGGTGGCCAGTCTGGCGGCCCCGGGCTCGCCGTCGCCGCCACGTCGCCGCCCCGTCGCCGCCCGTCGTCTGGGCCTTGGTGTCGGTTTGGTGGCTCCGTGCTCGCCGTCGCCACCGCGTTGCCGCCCCGTCGCGGCCCCGTCGCCGCCTAGATTGTACCTAGCAGCATCAGCTGTGCAATCTATTCCGGTAGAGCCATCTATTTCGTGTCATATACGCTGTGCACGATGTGCTGCGCAATCTTTGAGAAACGATCTATGTGGGGCAGTCTATGTGGTGCAGTGCATGCGGTGCAGTATATGTTGTTCGACGTGCGTTGCTCAATATATATATATTTACATATATATACACATATATTTAAATATATGGTGCAAGCTATGTGATGCATTCTATGTGATGCGCAATCTCTGTGGTGCCATCGACGTGGCACAATCTTCGCGGTACAATCTATGTGGTGTACTGTACGTGGTGCAATATATCTGCGGTGCCACCGACGTGGTGTAATCAACGTGGTGCAAAATATGTTGTGTGAACGATCCTACAATACGATTGTGAAGCACTTTGTCAGGCACACCGAATAAAATGCCATATACGAGGTGCAATGGATGTTGTGAATCTACGTGGTGCACTCGACGTGGTGCAGCCTGCGTGGTGTGATTTATAATATGGAATAGATGTTGTGCAAGCTAGGCGCTGCAATCGAAGCGGTACTATCCATGCGGTGCAAACTACGTGGTGCACTGGACGTTGTGCAATCTATTTGGTGCAATCTATGTTGTACAATTCACCTTGTCAAACTTGACGTGGTCGACTCCACTACTCGCGCAATCATCCCACCCACCCGCTGGCAACTGGGTTTGCAAAACCCTTGCGGAAACGATTGCGACGACTGCGTGGCGTTGGCTGATGCATATCAGCGGCCGCGCTAGCCCGCGCTTGCTCGCGCGCGCAGCGGCCAGCTAGTTTGGCGCGACCGACGCGAACGTGGTGGCGCTGACCGCTCGGCGCCTTCCTGCGGGCACTTCAGTGCGAGTCGGCGATTTGCACGGGCGCGGTATCATGGCAGAGTCGACAACCGTAGACACGATGATGACAGTAGCGATGCTGGTGACGATGCTAGCAGCGACGACGGGGAAGCCAGTGACAGCGCCGATGGCGTTTTCGCGTCGGTGACGAAGGCTTTTGAACAAGTTCGGCATGTGCGCACGGCAAACGCGCGAGAGTGGCCCGCATGGTATGATTTGACACGGGTCGTCCCACCCGAGCACGCGCGCAACGGCGTTCGAACGATTTCGACATGCGCGTGCGAAGCAGGCTTGGTAGCATGTCATAAAAAAACGGAGAAAACAAACTGCAGGTTTCCTAAGAATTCGCAAGAGCGCGCTCGCAAGTTGTTTTTGCGGTTGTTTGGAAGTCCGTGCTGCAGAACCATATGTGTTGGGACAGCCGATTTTGAAATCCTTACGAAGCCGACTGTTTTCTGAAGGATTTCGGCATGCGCTCGCGACGTCGCGCTCGTGCGCACTTCGTCCAAGTTTTACAATAGACGTATAAAACAACGTATGATTGTTTCCCTACCCAGGCTCTGCCTAGAAGGGTTCTTACTTTATATGCTTAAAGGGCCGGGCAGTGTTGCCCGCCCCGGGCGGTTCCCCCGGCATCCGCCCCGTGGTTCCCCCAGTGACGTCCAATTAGCTTCGCGTTGCCGATCTCATCTTAGCTTAGCCTAGCTTAACTTATCTTAGCTTAGCTTAGCTTAGCCTAGTCTAGCTTAGCTTAGCTTAGCTTTGCTTAGCCTAGCCTAGCTTAGCTTAGCTTAGCGTAGCTTAGCTTGGTTCACCTTAGCTCAGCGCAGCATTAGCATAGCATAGCATAGCATAACATGTCATAGCGCAGCATAGCATAGCGCAGCATACCATAGCACATCATAGCATCGCATAGCATAGCATAGCGTAGTATATCATAGCATGGCATAGCGCTGCATAGCATAGCATAGCATAGCTTAGCATAGCGCAGCTCAGCATACCATAGCGCAGCACAGCATACCATAGCACAGCCTAGCCTAGCATAGCATAGCGCAGCATTGCATAGCATAACATATCATATCATCGCGCAGCCTCGCATAGCATAGCATATCATACCAACACCAAGCAAAAGCAACAGCAAAAGCGAAAGCAAAACAAAAGCAGCATCAACAGCAAAAGCAAAGGCAAAGGCAAGAGCAACAGCAAAGGCAATGCAAAGCAACAGCAACACCAATGCGAAAGTGTAGATGTAGATTTAGATGTACGTGTAGGTGTAGATGTGGATGTAGGTGTGGATGCACATGTAGATGTACATGTAGGTGTAGATGTAGGTGTAGATGTAGATGTGAGTGTAGTTGTAGATGTAGATGTAGATGTAGATGTAGATGCATGTGTACATGTAGATGCAGCTGTAGGTGTAGATGTGGATGTAGGTCTAGATGTAGATGTAGGTATTAAGCTGTACTATTACTACTACTACTACTACTACTACTACTACTACTACTACTACTACTACTACTACTACTACTACTTACCACTACTACTACTACTACTACTACTACTACTACTACTACTACTACTACGACTACCACTACTACTACTACTACTACCACTACTACTACTACTGCTACTACTACTAAAGGTACGACTAAGACTACGACTACGACTACGACTACGACTACGACTACGACTACTACGACTACTACGACTACTACGACTACTACTACTACTACTACTACTACTACTGCTACTACTACTACTACTACTACTACTACTACTACTACTATGAGGAAAATAAGGAGGACGGCGTTTACCGTTACTACTAATATTGCTCTCCTCAGGGTTCCAACTCCTAGGTAGGGTCGCCCTGGGATAATTATAAACGAACGCGCGCACATAGTTTGTTTGCAGAAGGTGACGGGGGGGGCGATACCAGCCTGGCTGGGATGGTACGGACTCATTTTTGAGATGGACGATGGGGCAAACTCATATGTACATTGCAATACGACATGGGGAACCGATAACCCCAGGGGGGTAGAGCTCATTTTCCTTAGAAAGGAAAATCGAAGCGGCGACGGGCCGGCGACGAGGCGCTACCTCGAGCACGGGGCCGCCAGACCGCCACCCACGCCCAGACGACGGGCGGCGACGGGGCGGCGACGGCGAGCCTAGAGCCGACGAAGTGCCAACCAGCCCACACGACGGGCGACGACGAGGCGGCGACGGCGAGCCCAGATCCGCCAGACTGCCACCAGGCCAAAGAGACGGGCGGCGACGAGGCGGCGACGGGGCGGCGACGGCGAGCACGGAGTCGCCAAAGCGCCACCCAGGCCCAGATCCACAAAACAGGAGCAAGATCCCTTAAAACAAATACTTTTTGGGGAACATCGATTGCACCGCGAACGTACCACAACCTAGACAGCACCACATAGAGTGCACCGCATCGGTTGCACCACGTCGATTCTCCTTTCAAATAAGGAACATCGTCTCGACCCCCCCCCGGGGAATGATCGTGGGCATCTCTTTTGTATTGCAATGTACATATGATTTTGCCCCATCGTCCATCCTGAATATGAACTCGTACCATCCCAACCAGACTGGTATCGCCCCCCCCCCCGCCACCCCCCGCGAGAAACTAAAATGCGCGCGCGTTCGTTCATCACAAATCACCAGTCTTCCAAACAAAAACTTTGCATCATATTGGACGAAGTGCACACGCGCGCGACGTCGCGAGCGCATGCCGCAATCCTTCAGAAACTCGCGGTGTCTTAAGAATTCCAACGTTGAGTGTCCAACAAACACACATGTACATGTATATGTATAGACAAACAGGGTTTCGCAAAACGGACTTCCAAAAACAACTTGCGAGCGTGCTCTTGCAAATGCTTTAGAGAACCTTGCTTTTATTCCAGCGTTTTCATGACATGCTGCCAAGCCTGCTTCGCGCGCGCATGTCGAGATCGTTCGAAAACCCTTGCGCGCGTGCTCGGGTGGGGCGATCCGTGTCAAATCATACCATGCGGGCCACTCTCGCGCGTCTGCCGCGCGCGCATTTCGAACTTATTCCAAAATGTTCGTCGCCGACGCGACGACGCCGTCATCGCCGTCGGCGTGATCAGCATCGGCGTCGTCACTGGCTGCCACGTCGTCGAAGTCAGCGTCGCCACCAGCATCGCTACGATCATCATCGTGTCTACCGTTGCCGACGTCGCCATGATACCGCGCCCGCCCAAGTCGCCGACTCGCACTGAAGTGCCCGCTGGGATTCGCCGAGCGGTCAGCGCCACATCGTTCGCGTCGGTCGCGCCAAACTAGCTGGCCGCTGCGCGCGAGCAAGCGCGGGCTAGCGCGGCCGCGGATATGCACCAGCCAACACCATGCAGTCGTCGCAATCATTTCCGCACGGGTCTTGCAAACCCAGTTGCGGGTGGGTGGGTGGGATCATTGCGCGAGCAGAGGAGTTGTCAATGTCAAGTTCGGCAAGTGCACTGCACCACATAGCTTGCACCACGTAGATTGCACAACACAGACTGCACCACGCAGATAGCACCACGTCGATTGCACCACACACACTCGCAGCATAGACTACGCCACTTGCGGAACCGGCGCGCACATGGCAGAAGGTTGTCTGGGCGGTGCCAACACCTGGCCCCCGTGCGCGGAGGCGATCTCCTCCAGCTGCCTCCTCGAGGGGAAGCGATAAGGGATAAAGGGGGGAAACCTCGGCCTGGGATCGGCGACTGATAAGCCCCGGATAGCGAGCCCGCACGTGCCCGGGCGGGGTGGGGCTATCAGACCCCTATCGGCGATCATTCGGCGATTGGAGGTCGATGCATCCGCCCCTATGCCGCTTTTTCCCTATCCACAAGAAGAACAACCGGCATAAACATAAACTTTCGGCGCTCCGCGCGGATTTCTTGGATCTGCGCTGGACCCCCCTCCCTGGCGCGCGGAGCGCGCCAGGGACGGCGCCGGAAGCGCCGCCACGGGGGGGGTCCCAGCGCAGATCCACGAGGTCCGCGCGGAGCGCCAAAAGTGTACGTTTACGCCTTCTTCCCCTCTTCGGCCATCGTTGCCCCCGACTCCTGAGGGAGGCGGACACCTGGGGCGCCCCCTCGTCCGCGTCTCCGTCCAGGGCGTGCTGCGAGGTCATGTTCCCGACCAGCCGCAAGATCTCGTCCGGGGTGCCGACCGGCCGACCGACGCCGGCCTCGACCTCCCCCAGCAGGGACTCGCACTCGCTCGAGCAGCACACGAGGTAGTGCGACGCTCGAAGAGCCTAGGACGACATCGTGCACAAACTCTCGGATGTTCGGGCGGACGTCTTGGGTCGGCCGTGGGCTCCCCTTTCCCCCCGCATCCCTGCCCCAGCGGCGCGGAGGACGCGCCGTGGGCGACGCCAGAGGCGCCGAGGAGGGTTTGGGGAGGGACTCCGCGCAGACTTCCGGAGTGCATGCTGATGTAGCTCTTGGCCCTCGAGATGTGGAGACGATGCAGTTGGAGGCGGCCTGGATGTAGTTGGCGATGATGACCTGCTTGCCGCGCCACGCCGAGGTCTCGTCCAGCGCGCCCAGGTCGCGCAGGTACGCCTCGGACTCCGCGAAGCGCCAGTCCGCGTCCAGCCCGGTGCCGTAGAACTTCGCGAGGGGCACTCGGCCGGTCTTGTGGACGTCCATGGCGACGAGCTGGTCTTTCATGGACGTGCACTCCGACTCCCAGAACGACCCGAAGCGGTGGACGATGCCGCCGACAATCTCGTGGGCATCTTCGAACGTGTAGAGCTTGGCCAGGCGCCTCTTCCGGAAGTCCAGCGCCCGGATCTCCCCGTCGGCCATGTCGGCGACCCCTCGCCAGTTCGGGAACGCCCGGGCCGTTGCCTCGCGGTTCATGATCGGCCCAGGCCCATCGCCTACGTTCTCGGCCAAGATCCATCTCAGCAGGTACTCCTGAACAATGGCGACCAACGCCGAGCGGTGAATGCCCCTGTCGGTGGGCCTCATGTGTCTCCTGTACACGTCCTCCAGCAGCTGGCTCTCTGCGTCGAAGACCATGCGCTCCAGCGCAGCCACCATGAGTGCTGCGTCGCGGAGGTCGAAGCCATGCTCGGCAGCATGCCGCGACGCGAGGACGGACTCCACGTACCTCGGCACCTGCTGGCTCAGCACGTCGGCGGCCCGCCACTCCGAGATCGCAGAGCCTGAGTGTTCCAGGCCTCGGACCCACATGGAGAACCTCCTCGTGAAGTACCTGTGGGCCATGTAGCGGAGCGTGCGGTGCTGGACGCGGCCGCCCTCGTTCTTCGGGCTCGCGCGCCAGATCGGCAGCAGCGCCTCCTCCACGCGGGCGAGGCGCGCCTCGTCGATCCGCCCCCCACACCCGAGCACCTCGGCGGTGGCCTCGCGCACCTCGTGCTCGAACGAGACGGCGCTGAGCTCGCCCCTGAGCGAGCTCTTCCTCGCAGCCGGGCCGCTCGCCTGCGCGGGGAGAGACTCGCAGGAGAAGGCCACGACGATGATCGCCAAGCTTGCGCTGGCACTGGAATACATGATGGGCGGGAAAGCTTCGTGACACGGGTAAAAGATATAGATTCGCGTGGGTACCGGTGGGATCAATGAGTGCTTGGTCCAAGAGAGAAGGGAGGACGAAGAGGAGGGGCAGCAGCGCATACATGATGGGCGGGAAAGCTTCGTGACACGGGTAAAAGAGATATGGATTCGCGTGGGTGCCGGTGGGATCAGCGAGTGCTTGGTCCAAGGGAGAAGGGAGGACGGAGAGAAGGGGCAGCAGCGCAGCAGCACCGACAGGGATCAGGACACATATCAGAACTTACCCCAGTGCGACCCTACCTAGAACATGCTATGATATGCCATGCTATGCTAAGATATGTTATGCCATGATGCGCTGTGTTCTGCTAAGCTATGATATGCTATGCTATGATATGCTAATATGCGCTATACGATGCGATGCTATGCTATGAGATGCTATACTGCGCTATGTCATGCTATGCTATGGTATGATATGTGTGGTTGTTTTATGCTATGCTATGCTATGCTATGATATGCTATGCTATGCTAATGCAGCGCTGCGCTATGCTTAGCTAAGCTAAGCTAAGCTAACCCTCTAGACAGAGCCTAGGTAGGAAATTACACCCATGCTGTGCAATGCTATGCTTTGCTGCGCTGTGCTATGCTGTGTTGTGTTGTGCTGCGCTATGCTATGTTATGCTATACTTGGCTATGCTATGATATGCTGGGTTATGCTATGATATGCTGTGCTGCGCTATGCATTGCTACGCTTTGCTATGCTATGTTGTGCTCTGCTATGCTAAAGCTCAGCGAAGCTAAGATGAAGGTAAGCTAAGCTAAGACAAGCCTGAGCTAAGATGAAGCTAAGCTAAACTAAGATGAAACATGCTCAGCTAAGATGAGATAAGCAACGCTAAGCTAAGGGGACGTAATTGGGGGAACCGCGGGGCGGATGCCGGGGGAACCGCCCGGGGCGATTAGCACTGCCCGGCCCTTTGAGCACACAGGGTAAGAACCCTTATAGGCAGAGCCTAGGTAGGGAACAAACAACAAACCAACACACACACACACACACATTCACTGAGGCTGCACGCACCTGCCCGTCCTGGTTCGCTCCAAACGAATACATCCCACGCGTGCCCCTTTGACAAAGCAGACGCCCGCTGGACCCGTCAGAGCTCCGTGGGCATGCCGACAGCTCAGGCTAAGGATTCGGGTGGATCGCGGAATTGTGTTCCTGAAGCCCTGCCGCGGGCGGGCGACCTGGGAAAGAAGCAGAGGGTAGAACCCAGACCCAGTTGCGTGGCCCCGCGAAGACTGCCCAAATAAAACATACGACCTCATTGTGCACATTGATCACATTTCAATTCGACCACGCGCTGCTCTACGAGGCACCGTGTTTGCGCAGGGGTCGCCCTCATTCCTTGCAGCTGGTTGAAACATTTGAAAACACATGTCAGCGGTCGCTTCTCTGACCCCTCCCCTTCTCGCTGCCAACCTCAAACTCATCCCTCTTGTCCCCTCCCCCTTCCTCCTCATCCTCCTTCTTCTTCCAGCCTCATCTTCCTCCAACTTCTCCCCCCACACCAACCATATACTCATCCTCCTCTTCCTCCTCCGCACCTTCCGCGCAACCTCAGAGGAGCCCACGCCTAGATTGGCCAGGCCCATTGTGGGCCTAGGATTGGTCTGGTCGAGACAGGTGCGCGGCGTGGATCGCCGGCGCCCTCCAGAGGGAGGAGGATGTGAAAGGCGAGACGGAAAGTGACTGGAGGAGAAAGGGAAGGGAGGGAGGCGCGAAGGAGGTGCGGGAAGGGGGGGGAGAAGGAGCGGGGAGCGAGGAGGGGGGGAGAGGAGAGGGGACTGGGAGGGAACAACGGCATGTCAGAGGGAGAGGGCGGGGAGACGGTGGGAGGTGGGGGGAGGCTACGATGCTGGGAGGTCCCCCCCGGAGCCCCCAAAGTGGCTCCAACATCCGAAGACTTGGATCCTCCTTCTGATCACGAATGCCAGCACCTTGCTGGAACGGGAAGGTCTTGTGTGCACATGCTGGCATCGGAGACGCCCTGATTCCAGCGTCACGCTTCTGCAGACTGCTCCCACGGAGCTGCCTCGTGGAAACGAAACTGGGGGGTGTATAGTGTGGTCATTCGCCGCGTCCCTCTTCCTCGCCATCCTCCTACGGCGAAGGCAACGACCTGCTTTCTTTTCCTTCCTCGCCTCTCTCCTCTCGGTTCGGACAAGAGGGGGGTTAGTAAGAGAGCATCTTCTGTGGGTGCAGGGCTGCGGGTGGAGTCCACATGGGCGTTCACACCTCAAACCACGCATTCGCCTACTTGCCTGGTGACTTCCAGGATGAACCGCATGTGGTGCACCGGCACGCGTGCGTGCAGCGTTGGGCTTACACGACTACGCCAGGATGGCGCTCCCCCATGCGGACAAAGTTATGTGGAGTTTCCCCGTGGCCGTATGGGCCCCACCCACGATCTGGGAGCGATCGCGCGGGGTCCTCCGAGCACACGACTGGCGCCCGACAAGCGAACGAGCACGCAGCTGGCGCCCAACCGATAGACTCCAGAATTCGATCATCGTGTGTCGTGCTCTGGGGATTACCGTGTCGTTCTAGAATTGGTTCTGGCGTTCTAGACTTGGTTCGTGATTGCGGTTGGTACCACATGACATGTGTGTTGCTGAACGCACGTAGCAGCTCTAGGATTTCGTGTTGAGTTCTAGAATTTGATTTGCCGTTGTAGACGTAGTTTGGGCGGTTCGGAAGAACAGTAGGCCAATGATGCCAGCGCTCAAGCTTCCCGTGTCATTTGATACCTTGTCACCCTCACCCTTCGAGCGCACAATGCTGTGGACTATTGTGGCTCAAGGCTCCCAAACCTGAGAGGCAAAAGTGTTCATCGTCATCTGCCCATCCTCCGACGTCCCCCCCTTTCCTCGAGATTGTTTTGTATACCACATCCACCCCGCCTCAAGCAGATTCCACCGCCCGGGGCCACGTTCAGTATACAAAACCACGACCCAGGGATGGTGCTTTGTCTACCAAACCCACGACAAGGCCATCGCCCAACCCCAGGGCTTCTGGGGAATAGTATGTTTGTTTTTCTGGCGGACTTTTGCCCCCCGTTCGAGGCGACCGTTCGCTCGCACTGGTAGGAGGAGCGTGATGGTTGCTTGGGGCAGCGTGGTGGTTGTTTGGGGCGCAGATGACAACACGAAGCCCACACTGCTTGGGGATCCCAAAACCGTGTGGTGACAGACCGTGCGGTGACCTCGGACCCCCAAGAGACCTCACCGTACGGTCCGTCACCGCACGGTCTTGGGACCCTGGAGGCCCCTCTCGCCCGAGGCATCCTCAAAGAAGGACTCGAATCCCAAAACCGTGCGGTGACCCCGAATCCCCACCGACTCACCACACGGTGCGGTCACCACCCCGTTTGGGAGCCCCCGAACTGCCCGAGCAGGAGGAGGAGCCACAAGACGACCGGCAGAGCATCTCCGCCAACAGAGGGTCCCCAGCAGGGCTCCCGCCGCGGCCTCCTGCCAGGTCGCCACGACCGTGACTCGGCGGCGAGCCAGGGGGGGGGGGGGAGGAGGAGGAGGAGGAGGAGGAGGAGGAGGAGGAGGAGGAGATGAGAGGAGAGGAGGAGAGGAGGAGGAGTAGGGAGGAGGAGGAGGAGGAGGAGGGAGGAGGAGGAGGAGGAGGAGGAGGAGGAGGAGGAGGACGGGGGAGAAGGGAGAAGGAGGAGGAGGAGGAGAAGGCCATCTCAGAAGGCGGCGGGGCTTCTCGGAAGCCCTCTGGCCTTCTGAGAGGTTCCCCGTGTCTCCGAAGAGGGCTTCGAGCACTTCTCAGAAGGCTGGGTGGGGGGCCTCCGAGCCTTCTGAGGTCCGTCCGTCCCCTCTCACCTCCCCCCCCGGGCGCGCCGCCGAGTGGCAGCGAAAGACCCGTGGCAGGCTGCAGACAGCGCTCTTTAGACGGAGGCTGCTTCTTACAAGGCGCTGGCCCTACATCTACAGACAATTGAGCAGGGACCGGCAGTCCCGGCGTTCCTGTAGGCCTACCACGACATGTTACTAGAACCCAAGAGTGCTCTAAGACTCTAAGAGCAAGAACGATGTTCTTAGAACAGAGGCCCGATGCATTAACACAAGACAGTATCAGGCAGATGTGTCCAAAGAGCACTTCGTGCAGACCACAAAAGGTTCTTAGAAATTCCTCGGCGGGCCTGTAGTAATGTGCAAGCCTGGACGCTTCGCCACTGCTTGAGACATGGCCGGCGCCTTCTGAGAAGCAGGGGCGCCTCAAAGAAGCCTTCCCCCCTCCCCCTCCCCCCCCCTCTGCGCGTGGCCGACCTTCCCTGAAATCCGACGTTGCAAAACAAATTGCAACATCGCAAAAAATCACGACCGGACCTCCGAACCCCACCTTTCTGCGTCATTTTTCGAGCCGGATCGATCTGTGAGGGCCCCAGGGCCCGACATGGAGCGCGAATGCCCGGCTCGAAAAAATTGAGTCGCCAGGAGACTGTTTTTGTTCAGGGGCCGGCGATAACCCAGGTTATCGGGCTTGCCCCACCCCTCCCCCCCCGGATTACCTAACCTTTCCGGTTGTGCAGGTCCACGGGGGGGGGGGGGCGCGGGCATATGCAGGGCCGCACACAGCGCGAGGGTTAGGTTTGTCGGCCGGCCCCCCCCCCCCCCCCCCCCCAGGCCTCACTATCGTCGCCGATTCAAACAAAAACGGTCTCCATGAGGGTTCCCTCGTGATCCCGCCCGGGCACTTTTGGCGGGGCCCGCCCCGAGCGAGAGCCAGAGCCCACGGGGCCGGCCGGGCTCGGCTCCGGGCCCAGCGCTGGGCAGGCAGGGCGCCATGCGCGCAAGCCCTCGGGGACCCTCCTCCTCCTCCTCCTCCTCCTCCTCCACCTCCTCCTCCTCCTCCGCTGGGCCGCGACGAGCCTCCACGAGGCGTTCTTGGGGTCGCGCGCATTAGGCGGAGGGGTCCGCCTTGCAGCGCGCGTTGCTGATTCGGCGCAACTTCGACGTGGACGACATGGGCAGGTCTGCCTCCCGTGGCCGTGGGAAGGCGGTCCGCTTCCAGGGCGGCTGGTCTCGCTGCCAGGCTTGCCGTCGCTGCGAGTGGGACGAGCGTCTCGCTGCTCGAGCGTGGGTGTGCAGCTGCGGGGCGACTGTCGTTCAGTACGCAGCGCGCAGCCCTCGCGGCCGCGCGGCAGCCGCCAGGGCGGCGGAGGAGGTGGCCAGTCGGCGCTGCTGAAGCCAGGCGAGGCGCTGGTATCAGCGACGGAGGCGATCGCTGGGGCTGCTGCGGAGCAGAGCGGCGAGGTGCCCAGCGAGCTCAAGCAGGCCCTCCTCGTGATGCAGCAGCACGCTCAGGCCGCCGCCGCCAAGGCTGCCGAGCCCTCGCACGAGGACGCCTTCCGTAAGGCGGCTGGTGAGTGCAAAGACCTGAATAGGCGCCATCAGGGGGCCGTGGATCAGGTCCTGCGCTGTCGCGCGGCGCTGACAGCTGCCGAGGGGCGCGAGAAGGACCTCGCGATGCAGCTGGCGGAGGCCGAGGCGGCGAAGCAAAAGGCGGCGGCCGCAGTCGCGGCGCTGGCTAAGGTGCCGACGACTCCTGGGCAGCCTCCAGGCTCAGCACCGCCGCCCGATGCCGAGGGCGAGCTGTTCCAGCTGGTGTGGGACGACTCGGTCTTCACGGGCGAGGCCATCGAGGAGCTGGACGAGGGCGAGCGCCAGGCCATGGACGCTCTCCGCCGTGAGTTGTGTACTACCAAGGCCCAGTTGGAGTCGCACTCGACGGAGGTGAAGGCCAAGCTGGCGCAGGCCAAGGCGCTCGCGGAGCAGAGCAAGCATCGCTTGGCCAAGAAGCGCAAGGGGCCTGAAGGGGCCGCGGTCACTGGACAGGCCCAGGCCGAGGCAGCCCCAACGGGAGGAGGCGGCGGCGTCGAGGCCCCAGTCGGGGTCGGTGCCAGCGCCACCGCCGCGGCGGCCTCGGACGCCACTGGTGGCGGCGAGGAAGCGGCGCGCCTTGCAGCAGAAGCCGCCAAGCTCAGCGAGGCCAAGTTCAGGGCCGCGGAGCGAGCTGTTGAGGCCGGCGGTGGCAAGGGTCACGGCGGCAAGGCGGCTTCCGTGGTCTGACGCCAGGCCGCCGCGGCCGACAGCACCGCGGCGCAGGGCGTATCCAACGCGCCCAAGTTTGAAGAACAGGGGGACCCGCCGACGGCGGCAGCAGTGGAGTTGACTTCAGTCGGGCAAGCTGAATGTGCTCCAGCAGCTGCTCCTCGGGGGCTACGTGTCGATGGCGTTCGCGTTGATCGACAGGCCGTGGACTCCAGCGAGTTCGAGCGGCGCTTTTTCTTCGGTAGTATCACGTCTATGGGGCCCCAGGCGTGGCAGTTTGTGCATGACAGCACGCAGGGGTACGATTACGTGAGCTTCGTCGAGGCGCACGTCAGGGCCTCGGCGCAGCTCAGCTTTTGGCGCCGCAAGGCCAAGCGCCAAGGATGGCGGCTGATGTGCAACCCAGCCCGACCGAGCAAGGGGTCTGGTACGGAGGGTGGCGAGTGGATCCTCGCCCGCAGCCACCTGCATGCCGGCAGCTTGGCAGCGACCACTCCCGCGCCCAAGCAGCTGCGGGCGCCGTCCACCTCGGACTTGGACGGCTTCCAGGCC